CGGGGCACCCCCATGGAGCCAGACCTTGGGCTCAGCTGGGCCAAGTCCCACCACCTGCCAGGAGGACCGTCGTGTTTTGGTGCAATGTAAGCCGGGCGGCAGGTGAGGGATGGTTCCTGACTGTGCAACATGAAGCAGCTCCAGGGACAAGAGTTGTCCTGAACACTGAAAACGTTCTTTCAGAGCAGGTTTGGTGAAGACTCACCTTGGAGACACCTTGGAGGTTAACCTTCAGGAGTGCATGAGAGCTTATGGGACAACCAACGGTCTGACGAAGACTCATGGTCCAACTCAGCCTTAAACAGCAGAGCAAGGTGCCGGCCCAGGAACATCCCCCCAGCTCGTCCTGCAAGAGACAGATTGGTGGGACAACAAAGCAAAGGACAGGAACTCTAACTCAAAATAATGTTGAATAAAAAGAGAATCTGAATCTCAGAAGGTTCCTCCCTGAAGCTCCCATGGTTTTATGTTGGCTTTCTCTGACCTTCTGCTTATTTCACTGCTGCTGGAATATTCCTCCTGATGTTTGAACTTTCTTTTTTTATAAATGTAGCATCATTTTATGAACAGTCTGCCTCGTGATCTGAATGAATCACTTAAACACAAGCGCCTCTCAGACGGCCTTTTACCGTGCGCTGAGTCCGCTGAGCCTGGATTTGTTGTGACGTGGTGTGAAGTGGTGGAACCACCATGTTTGTGTTCATCTGAACCGCTCCGTGTGTCTGCTGCTGCCAGACATTCAGATTTGTGCAGATTAATCCTGAGCATGTTGTTCAGATGGGATGAACACAACATGAGCAGTAATCACAGTCCAGCGTCAGACTGCAGTCCAGGATCAGGTTCTCACTCTGATCCAGATGGACGGATCAGTCCTGCTTCTGATCCACCGCTGCTGCTGAAATCATCTTTGTTTGCTTCAGCTTGAATTCACTCAAACACAAAGAAAAACGGGCCCACACACATAATCAACCGGAGTGTGAAGAACTGTTCAGATCTAAACTTTATTCATTTAAAATGATCAATAAGAATTCTCAAAAACTTTAAATATCCAGATTATAAAAATCATCAACTAAATAAAACACATTAAAACAACGTCCTCGTCCTTATTGTAGGTGAGTAAAAATGCTTTTAAGCAGCAGGGGGCGCTGCTGAGGGAGGCAAACATAAAAGATTCAACATTTCCAACAAAGAAGAAAAAAGTTATAAAAAGTACAAATAAGAGTTATTTTTTAAATAACAGGTTATTTAAAAACGTCATTAAAGTGAAAACAGGATTTCAAGATAAAGCCTGCACCGTTTATTTATTAATTTTTTAATCTTCACTGATTAAAAAACAAACTTTTTTTATACATAAAATGTTTTAAAAAATCATTTCCACCGTCCGTCCAGATCTGCCCTGAATCCACCCCGATCCGCCCCAATCCACCCCGATCCGCCCTGATCCGTCCCGATCCGCCCTGATCCGCCCCGATCCGCCCTGATCGCCCCGATCCGCCCTGATCGCCTCGATCCGCCTGAATCCACCCCGATCCACCCCGATCTGTCCAGATCCGCCCTGATTGCCCCCGATCCGCCCTGATTGCCCCGATCCGCCCTGATTGCCCCGATCCGCCTGAATCCACCCCAATCCGTCCAGATCCGTCCAGATCCGCCCTGATCACCCCGATCCGCCCTGATCCACCCGATCCGCCTGAATCCACCCCGATCCGCCCTGATCCACCCCGATCCGTCCAGATCCGCCCTGATCCGATCCGCCCTGATCCACCCGATCCGCCCCGATCCACCCTGATCCACCCCAATCCGTCCAGATCCGCCATGATCCGTCCAGATCTGCCCTGATCCACCCGATCCTCCCTGATCCACCCCGATCCGTCCAGATCCACCCTGATCGCCCCGATCCACCCTGATCCACCCCGATCCACCTGTCTGCTGGGATCAGGGTTTGACCTTCATGAGCAGGTGAAGCCGGGATCCAAAGCTCAAGTCGGCAGCCCGGAGGATCTTCTGCGGTGACCGGCAGAGCTCGGAGCCGGGGAGATGACGCCCTGCACGGCCTGAGGGGGCTCCAGTGGAGGACCGGGGAGAGTCAGGAACCGGCGGAGCTCCATCCAGCTCGCTCTGAATTTTGTCATCGGCCACCAAGCACAACAAACGCCTGCACTTCAGCGTTAGACCACGGCGTTGTCATTATTGTTTTTAAAATCTTTAAAACACGCCCAACGAGTTCGAGTACCGGTAATTGCAAATGGCAGATCGAGTGTTGTAAAAAATTCTCAAACCCGTCACTAGAGGACCAATCAGTGACCGACAGCGTTCTGACGCCACGTTTTGGTGCCGGCTCGGCCCGCTTGGTACCCCAGAGAAGAAGGGACTAAAAAGGGTCTGGTTCCAAGAAAAGTGATGGTGGAAAAGGGCTCAAAACCGTACTGGACCGAGTCGAACAGGGCTGAAGAGGGACTATGGAAGAGGGGTGTAACTGGTGTCTGGTCTGCTCGTTTCACCAGAAGAAGTCTTTTAGGAAAACAAACCTGTTTATTTTGATCGTTCATTTTCTTCTGTCCGCTTTAATCTGAGGCTTTACGTCCAAACGGAGAGGTCGGAGGTTGTCCTCGTCCCTCTGAGGGACAAATCCCTCCTGTGTCTGTGATGAAGATGAAACCTGCTCCTCTTCATCCCTCTGGCCTCTGATGTGCCGATGTGAAGTACCGAGGTTCTGGCCCAGATTAAAGCTGGCGGCTCCGGTAAAAAGACGAGGCTGCTTATTTTTAGACGCTCATGTTTAATGAATGTTCTCTCCTGGAGTCTCATCGGGTTCTGCAGGAGGAGAGGACCTCACGTCATCCGTCAGCTCCAAGGAGACGGATCAGAACCAGAGGGAGATGCAGGTTCTGCTGGTCCACATCCTGTCAGCCGCTCCAACAAGTGGAGTGGACTCTATTTATTAGTTTGTTGTTGGTTCTGCTCAGTCTGTCTGTACTTTAGGATGTTGGCTGTACCCACTGGTTGTTGTTTTATGGAAATTAATATTTATTTATGTTAACGCGACGTCTTGAGATAAACTTTAGTGTTTTTGTTTGTTTGACAAGTTAGAGACCAGTTTAATGTCAGACTGAGACTAGTCAGGGACCAGTTAGAGACAAATTAAATCAAGTTCAAGTTTATTGTCGTTATCATCACATGCGCTACATGAGGTGGAACAAAATGATGAACTCAGTGTCCCAGTTACACCCAAAATATCAAAAATACAAAGTAAAGAAACAGTAAATAAGGATCTAACATGTAAACCAAACACTAATAATTTAAAACAATACGGTGCATTAAACAGCAGCCTGAACATGAGTCTGTAGTGAGCAGATGGGTATGAATACAGCAGCTTAAAGGCAAGAGATCAGCAGCATGGATGATCAGCAGCATGGATGATCAGCAGCACAAATAAGTCACATATCAGCAATTAAAGGCATCACAGTGATTATTCTGGGTAGAGATTCATGAATCTAACAGCCTCAGGGTAGAAGCTGTTCCTCAGTCTAGTGGTGAAGGTTGTTCTTCCTGCACCAGCTCTCCAGGTGTTCCACCTCCTGCCTGTAGCTGGACTCATCATTGTTTGTGATGCATCCCACCACCGCTGTATCATCTGCAAACTTTACAATGTGACAGCCTGGATGGGTAGCTGCACAATCATACGTGAGCAGAGTAAACAGGAGGGGGCTCAACACACATCCCTGAGGGGAGCCAGTACTGAGGGTTATGGTGGAGGAGGAGAAGTTGTGGATCCTCACTAACTGTGGTCTGTTTGTTAAGAAGTCCAGGACCCAGTTACAAATGGAGGGTCTTAGTCCTGGTGTGGATAGTTTGTCCATCAGGGTTTGGGGGATCATGGTGTTGAAGGCAGACGTGAAGTCCACAAAGATCATACGGACGTAGGAGTCCTTCTGCTCCAGGTGGTTGAGCGCAGTGTGGACCACAGAGGAGATGTTGTCCTCTGTTGGTCGGTTCTCGCTGTATGCACCGGTGAAGGTCCTCACAGAGGAAACGCAGGAAATATTAAAGAACATCTGCAACTGAAACACTTTGAGTCAACCTGATTCAAGATGGCCGCCGCAGCTGGTGCACCTGATGCATAAATATGGATTAGATGATTAATTTATGTTGTGACCCAAAGTTTAGTTTCACTCTCATGAACAAACATTTGGACTGTTTCAAATCCAACATGAAGTTAGTTCAGTCTGAAGTTTTGTTTGTTGTTTATTTCTCTCTCAGAACGTTGTTGTTTGTAAACAAACAAACAAACAAACAAACAAACAAACAAACAAACAAACACACACGTCTCTTCTTTTCTGCCTCCTTGGTTCCCAAACTTTTTTTCCTCCTCCTCCTCCTCCTCCTCCTCCTCCTCCTCCTCCTCCTCCTCCAGCAGCAGGAGTGAGAGGAGGTGAGCTGACCTGAAGGTGAGCTCTCTGATTGGGCAGCAGGTCGGAGGGGGAGGAGCCTCTCACGAGTCACGTGCTTTACGTTCGCTGCTCCTGAGTCGCCATTTTGGAGGAAAGTTTGGAGTTTGTGGGGAGGTGCAGGAGAAGGAGAGGAAGAGGAGGAGGAAGAAGGAGAAGCGGACCGAAGTTTGACACGACTGCAGCTCTCCGGCTGCGGGTTATCTGGGGGAGTTCGGTGGACTGGACGGGTTTGGGTCGGAACCTAAAGTTTGTTGTGATTTCTGGACCTTTTGGCTCCTCTGCAGCAGGAGCAGCAGCTGCAGGGCGCACAGCTCCTCCTGCATGCACCTCCTGGCTCTCCGCCTGCACGGAAACTGGGCGGGTTGAGCCGGACTTTGGCGCACAGCGGCTGCAGAGAGCCGAACCGAACCGGACCGGACCGGGACTGGTTCCAGCCTCAGCGGTCAGCCTGAGCGCTGCTCGCCGGCGCAGGGAGCCTCTCGGGCGGGGAGGCGCTGCTCGGAGGGTCGGTGTCTTCACCGGAGCTCACCTGCATCTTCCTCTGGATCATTTGGGTCGGACCGGACCACTGGGGTTCTGCGCTGGTTCCGCCCGGAGGACCGGTTCTGGCCGCTGCTTGTTGTTGGACCAGGTCCGTTTTCACCAAGTTCGGTTCGGACGGAACTTGTCGTGGAGGGATTTCCTCTGAGCGGGACTTCCAGCAGGAATCAGCCGCCAGGTCCTTGGCTCCGAACCGAACCGAGCCGAGCCAGAACATGCCAGTCAGGAAGAGAGGTAAGCCGCTCGAGCCAGCCCGCGGAGGCGAAGCTAACTCTGCTAACCTGCGGGACAAGGTCCGAGCAGCTCGAGCAAACAAACAAACAAACAAACAAACAAACAAACAACAACACTGACACGGGTCACACGCGGTTCTGTCCGGAGCCGAACCGAGCCGGGACAAGTGAGTGAAAGTGCAGCTAGCCTGTTAGCTTCTGATGCTAACAAGTTCTAAATGGGGCACCTCGTTGAACTAAAAATAAACTCTGAAAATAAATAAAACCGTTACAGCGTCGTCAAATTCACATTTACACATGAAACACGCCAACTAAAAAATTCTAAATATTATTCCTAATAACTCCAGAACTTACTGGAGATTAATAACTTTTTCCTGTTGTTGAAAAAAAATCCCCAAAGTTTGAAGAAATTGAACCATAAAAACGAGCTGACAGGTTTAAACCCAGATTAAATCCCGAGTTATTTAATCTGGTTCAGCTTTAATCTGGTTCAGCTTTAATCTGGTTCTGGTTGTGACCAGAGGAAAATCTAAATGATTTTTAACTGCAAATTAAAAGAGATAAAGAGCCTTAAAACATTTCTTTTGTTTATAAGTTTGTTAAAGTGTAAAAATGAGGCTTTAAATCAATTAAAACTGATAAAAATTCACCCTAAAGCAAAGTTATATTTTACTAACAGAAGTTATTTATTGAATGTTGTTCGTCTTTAATTTACTGGAACATTATTAAAGTCTGAGAAAGTTTAATTCCAGTCAAATAAAAACCTGCAGCTCAATTAATTTTCAACTCAGTTTATTATAATTGAACAGAAACATTCATCTATAAAATAATAATTTAACAGAAACATTCATCTATAAAATAATAATTAACAGAAACATTCATGTATAAAATAATAATTAACAGAAACATTCAAATATAAAATAATAATTGAACAGAAACATTCATGTATAAAATAATAATT